ATTTTTAAGGTGGTCATCTAATATGGCTGAAGCCCTTAAAACAACAGCTTATCTTCCCCAAGTTCATCTCCCCCTTCTTCTGCTACTCAGCCCAGGGTGTAATTTCCTTTCACCCTTCCTGCTACCTCAGAGAAGACCCCAATCAGTTCTTCAGGTATATCTAAACATCCCCTTCAAACTCCACCCCTATCAAAAGGCCATGAAAGCTTCAGCCTCTTTGTTCCAATCCAGAGAATTCCTTATTTTCCCCAGATTCTCTCTGTTTTCTCAAAGACAATAAATTCCCTTTTCCTTTTTCCTTCTGCATATTTCTCTGGTGTGATGCCATAAAAAAACTTTCGGGTTGGTGCCTTGTAACTTTGACAGATAGGCAGCTTGTGAGGCTTCTGGGAGCTACAACCCCCAGTCCTAAGCACACCTGTCTACTGACCAAGCTTCTCTCCTTCAGGATCTGCCTATTTGCCATTGCGAGCTTTCATTCAACACCTTACATCTCACAGGTAGGCTGAGTTCATGGTCTCACTCAAGGGAATTGTTTACTTGCTTTTTAGCCTCAGGTGTATACCCTTCCTTCTAACATTCCCCTGCCATTTTAGAAAATTTGCAGGGCCTGAGTCTGGAAGTCTAACCATCCCTGGGAAACCCCCAACCCCAGGGAATGCCTCTGGCCCCTGAAGACACCTGGAGGTATCAATGTTTGTGAACTCACTTTTTGCCCTTCTTAGCTTTGACAGTTAGTGACAACCATTTCCCAGGCTTTCAAATCCACTAAGCCTTAATCCCGTCACCATAAGAAACAGTTGTTCCCAACCAAAAAAGACACTATTAGGGTGCCTGGTCCATAATCTCACCTTTGGGAGACAATAAATTGCCTCTGGGAGACAATAAAACTGAAGCAATTAATTTATTTTCAGACGGCATGGCCAACCTGTCCCATACCTCTCGTGGGGAGAGATCGCATCCAAAAGCTCCACTTCTTTCTCACCTCTCTCCCCACAGTATACATCCTATAAACCCAACCTCTATGCATATCCAGCTCCTCCCTCTCTTCCCTTGTTGACCACATATTCTGACACTTCCAGTCCCACTCATACCACACATGCTGTTCCTATACTAGTACTGCCTCAGAGATGCCATAGCCTTTCCCTGTATTCCTCAATTCCCAAGTAGCCCTCAAACATCAGAAGAGACTCAAGCCCATTATTTACTGCCTTCTTGAAAATAGTTTTCTTAAAACTGCCCATTCACCACATAATACCCCTATTCTTCCTTAACTCAAACCTAATGGTTCCTATTGTTTAGTTCAAGATCTCACAATTATTAATAATGAGGCTACTCCTATTCACCCAGTGGTGCCAATTTGCCATTGCACGTTTTCTCATACACTATGCTTTCTCATATCCTTCTTTCTACTACTCACTTTACTGCCCTAGACCTAGATCTTTAAAGAAGTCTTCTTCACCATTCCTGTATACGCAGATTGCCAGGACCTCTTTGCCTTCACATGGACTGATCCATACAATCTCTCATCTCAGTAACGCACATGGACTCTCCTGCCTCAAGCATTCAGAGATAGTCCTCACTTCTTTAGCCACATTCTTGCTGCTAATCTTGGGTCCCTTGATCTCAAGCCCAGCCTACTCCTTTAATATTTTGATGACCTCCTCCTTTGCTCTCTCTCATGCCCTAGCTCTGTGATACACAGCTACTCTTCTCAACTTCCTTTCAAGAAAAGATTATCAAGTCTCTTCCCAGCAAATCTCAGATAGCATCACCAAAAGTCAAATATCTATGTTCCCATCCTTTCCTTCCTCCATGCCTGCTGCGATAACATGCAGATTTCTGTCTTCCATAACCAGTAGATACCACTAAATCAATGAGATTTGTATCCTCTAGAGACTTAATTTACCTCAAATCCTCTAAGTCTACAGCACTAGATCAAGCTGAGATGGGTCCACACCTGGCTGTCCTCTCAACAGCAACAGTTGTAAAAGTTGCCAGCCTGCCCTCCTGGTTCTACATCACCTGAGTCAAGCACTGTCTAGACTACTCCAACTCTCCTGATTCCAAGCGTTTGACATCTGGGTGGTCTTCACAACTCTTGTCACTCACACATCTCTGTATAAGTAAGGGTTCAAATTCTCTGGCCTCAAGACATCCAACTCACTCAAAAGCTGACGCACCTGACACTAACTTCTATCTGGGCATAACTGTCACCCTGTCAACTCCCCTTTCCCCCAAGATGATACCCCCATTCATCAGGAAACTGTATAAGAGATATGTTGCCCCTTTTTCTAACAACCAAAAGATGGAAATGGTAGGTTATGGCCCTAGTATGAATTGCTAAATTATTATGGTGGTCATCTAATATGGCACAAGCCCTTAAAGCAACAGCTCATCTTCCCCAAGATTACCTACCCCCCTCTTCTCCAACTCAGTCCAGGGTGTAATTTCCTTTCACCCTATCTGGTGCCTCAGGGAAAACCCCAGTCATTTTCTCAGGTGTATCTAAACATCCTCTTCAAACTCCATCCCTAGAAAAAGGCCGTAAATATCTTTGCCTCCCTTTGTTACAACCAGAGAATCCCTTATCTTCCCCAGATTCTCTCCATGTTCTCAAAGATAATAAAATCCCTTTCCCTTTTTCCTTCTGCTTATTTCTCTGCTGTGACACTGTTGAAATCCTATCAAGTTACACTTCTCTAACTGATGGGATAAATACCTGGCACCCAAAATGAAGGAAAGGAAGGTTTATTTAACTTAGTTACTGGAGCTTTCATTCTATACTAGCCTGGCTTCTAAGCAGAGTAGCACATGGCACAGAACAACCTTTCATGGCAGTAGCAAAGAGTGGAGAGCAAAGGAGAGGGGCAGCAGCTCAAGCAGCAAGCTGTCCTCTCATTTCTCCTTACATTTTAATGCAAATTACCTGCCCCCAGGCAGGAGCAGCATCCTCACACAAAATAATCAATCACAAACTCACAAAGCTGCCTGTCTTAGTTACTCTTCTCTCATTGCTGTAACAAATACCCAACACCAAAAATGAAGGAAGGAAAGTTTATTTAGTTCACAGTTACTGGAAGTTTCAGTCCTTATTCAGCTGGCTCCAAAGCAGAATGGCATCTGACAGAGGGCAATCTTTCCTGGCAAAGGCAAAGAGCAAGAGCACAAAAGGAGGAGTAGGAGCAATTCAATCAGCTAACATCTCTCTCCTCCGTACATTGAAATGTAAATTACCTGCTCCAGGGCAGGCACAGTATCCACACCCACAATAATCAATCATAAACTCCAGAAGCTGCCCCAAGACTGCATGCTTTGGGGGAACACCTATACATGAACCATAACACTGCCCCATGACTACACAAGGTCTTGGAGGGACATATATACATAAACCATGACATCACTTTTAGAAAGCAAAGCAAAGGAAAACTTATGCTTTTTTCCATAGCCCATTTCATCAAATAAAAAAGGTAAAATATTGATTGCCAGAAACTATGTTTAGAAACTTGTGTTTATTCCATTTATATAATATCATTTCATAATACATATATATTTCATAAAATTAAATATGTACTACTGAAAATATTCACTTAGACTTCAGTTTAAAAGTTTAATGTTCTTCAGTTTAAAATAGTAAAATATCATAAGCATAACTAATGAATTCTAATAAAATAATTCTTCTGAGGCCAGAAATTTGCAATGGCAGATGTTATATGGAATATATATAAAGAAAAATGTCCCTGTGCATGTCCTTACCTGCCGTATGAGCTTCCATTTCCATAATGAAAACATTCACATCTGCAAATTTCTGGCCAAGGAGCAGTTGAAAATTTGTTCTAGCACAGCACCATGTATAGCAATAGTTGTTTATAATTTGAGATGGCACATTCTTCTTTCATCAAACATTAGATTGACAGATATTGTCTAATGGTCAATTTGCAATATCAAGCTGAACTGGATCAGTGTGGTGATTCATCTGAAAGCTCCACCTAAGGAATGTTGCCAACAACATGAAAAGAGAACTGGAGGGAAAGATGGTGTGCTTTTGATTCTCCTGGAGAAGTTGGTTATGCTGAATTTCCTGATATGAACTTGGCTGTTCTCATCCTTAGAGGAACTCAGGTCCTCACTGCCACTTAGTGTGGCTGTGACACTCTTTTGGGTAGCTCTCATCCAACTTTAAACTTCACTTGTTGGTTCCAGTGCAGATCCTTCAGCCTGTTGGCACAGATCCTTCAATGCACTGGCACAGACTTTTTACTTTCCACGCTGACCTTTGTGTCTTCCCAGTGTAAAACCTTGATACAGATGTGATGGGACATTACTGTGGGCTCTAGTCTTCAGCTGGGCTAGAAGAGGTCATTGTCATGGGCACTAAACCTTCAGTTGGAATTATGAAGGACATTGCCATGGAATCCAGTCCTTTAGCTGGATTCTTGTGATCTCTAGTGTGTGGACAGATCTGCATTCTTTTGCATTTCACTTTTTGGTAGTACTATAAAATAATTCCATACATTTCATATCTTGTATTAAATTTTTCCCCTTATGAACCTTCACTACAACTGACATTTTGCCTTTATTATATTTACATATTAAACATATGAAATATTCAAATTACTTTTGAAAAATATCATCCAAAACATGTAATAATTTAGGGTTAAAGACTGAATGTGAAGAAAATGTCTTGCATTATAGCTGCACTTTGTAAGAGAGATATTTATAATATTCTATTATCCCTTTTACCTTATATAACTTTCACATTCATAAAAGCACATGCATGTAGACATGGCTGTATAAAATAAAGATTACTAACTCATCACATAAAATCAAAAAATAGTAGACTGAATTTCTTAGTACAGGATTTAAAAACCTATGTGAACACATCTATAGTAAAATGTAACTACCCTGTGTTTCCCTTTAAATTTTGTACTTCACAATGTTTTTATGATGTCATACCTCAACATTACCAAGGTGAACATGCAAAGGTGAAGTTCTGGCAACCTATAAGCAGAGGAAATGTCTCTTCCACAATTGTGAGTCCTCTTTGTAATTATTTTTAATATTTATAAAGACTACCAGGCTCAATTTGTTATATATTTATAGACCTTAATGCAAAGAACATTTTTATTATCACTTTATATATCAAAACTTTTTTTTAAACATATATGAAGCATCCATTGTATATTAGCTGGTCTTCTGTAAGGTTTGGAGAGATTGTGCTCTTTCAAAATACAGTATAACTGCAGTATCTTGAAAGTTTTATCTTTCTGAGACAGTATTTATATAATTATATCTGAATTAAAAATTATGAAAGTAATTAATATATGTGAAACTACTTCACATGAGAAGCAATGTACAATATAATAAGACTATAAAAAAGCTGGATCACTCCACTGTTCTGAAAAGAAAACTTATATTCAATTGAAATGATTATACTGGATCTATTTTTATAGAATTTTATGTTAAAAATAATATCAACAATGTTAATTTTGGAGTCTTTAGTTGTTACATGTTCAATTATTGCTTTCTAAAAGCCAGTCTTATCCTAAGTTATTAAAGTCTTTTTGAGACTGATTCTCACTATCCAGTTCAGGCTGGCCTTGAACTCACTTTGTAGCCCAGGCTGGCCTCCAACTCACAATGATCCTCCTGCCTCAGCCTCCCAAGTGCAAAAATATTAATAAATAGTATAACATAACTGTATTGACTTTCAATTACCAGCCAATAATTCTGTATATTAAGTTGATTAAAATGTGATTGTCAAAATCCATTTTTACCTAGAAAATAAACATTTATTATCAAATTATGTAATATAAATTTGTAAAAATGAATAAGAAAGATTAAATTAATATTCAATGGAAATAGTTTAATGGTATGAAGTGTTGACTTATTTTTGGTACCAGGAATTGAACTCAGGACCTTGCTTTTGCCAAGCGGGTGCTTATGCTGGAAGTGTTAATTTCTAAGAAAAATTAATATGAATGTGAATGACCTTAAAATTAAAATGAAAATTTAGAAAAGTTTTTACTCTGACTTGCAAATCCTAAAAAAGTGTCCAAAAAATAGTGTGATTATTTTTACTCCTTGAATAATATATTTCTTTATATTTGTGAATTATTTAGTGAGTGCATGTTACTTTTTAAGTAATTAAAATAAATATATAGTTGTTTGAGAATAAAAGAATGAATTTTACCCATTTTTTTAATGAATTTATGGTAGGGTCTACAGGGTGTACAAGGTCTCACTACATAGATCAGACTAATAGTGATTCTCCTGTTTCCAGCCTCCCTGGTGCTGGGATTACAGGCATGAAACATGATGCACATTCTCAGTGTGCCCCAGCGGCAGGGCTCGCAACAGCACACAGGGGATAGAAGCCTTGGCCTCTGTGTCTGCCTAGGCAGGTGCTTTAATTCGCTGAGCTATCTGGCTGGCCCTTTATCCATAATTTAAAATGATGGTCCCTAAAATGAAAATCTCAAATTGTGTGTGTTTGTAAAGGCATTTTCATTGTGATACTGCCTATATTATGCAACACAAAGGGCTCAGAGTTATGTAACCATTATATGCTAATGCTTTGACTTCAATGTGATCAGCCAAATCCACTGTGGATGCTTATCTGAACAGTAATCTTATCTGATTGCCCTATCTAAAATTCTGCTCCATCTTTAAATACTGTTTTACTTTGAGTAACATTTTTCTTCTGACATCTCCTGGTTCTAGTAGAACTAAAAGTGCAGTAGATGTTTGTTTTGTCCTCAGTCCCACTTTCTGGTCATTGTCTTGCACTTTTTACATAAAATAACCATCTTTTAAATCGTACAACAATTATTAATTTTTCTTTATTTAATGTATATTCTAATTCTCAGTTAATTTGATTTGCCATTGATTTGTGTTTGTCCCAGTAACATTTCATGAACCAATGCACTTGACTTAATGTTTTATGACTTACCTCATCCCTATCTAACATTTAAAATCTTTTATCTCCTTGATCAGAAAATTTAGGACACTACAGAGTTACATGATGTTATAGTACAAGTTCTCATATGTCCTGAGTCTTAACTGATCTTGAAAGGCTAGGGCCAAAATGCTGGCTTTCCTTGTGGCCTTTCTTTTTCTCTAATTTTGGTGTGCAAACTTAGGTTGTTAACCCTCCAGAAGAGAAGCTTATTGTTATTACCATACAACCTAGGCTGTTAAGCTTAACCTCATAATCTTTCTGAATATCAAACATCTTAGGCATAATATAGAACAGGTAGTTTTCATCAAGTATTGATATGTTAAACTTTAAGTCCCTGCAGAATATGATGAAAAAACATTAAAAAATTAAAATATATTTTTAAAATAGGCATAAAGAATTACATAATTCTTATTTTTGCACATAAGTCCAGAAATCTAACCATATACAACCTTGTAGCAGGGCATTCCTGCAACATTCCTTTTCCTGTCTCCTACCTTCATTCACAATCCCCTTCTTTATGAACAATCATCTACCCAAAAGACAGCATGGTAGCAACTGGCAGGTCATGACAAGCAGGCTTTATAGAGATTATGGGGTCAAAGAAGAAAGTGATCAATGATGTACAATGTGCCTAAGGAGAGTCACATGGAGAGAAAACATTCTCTCAGGCTTTCACAGAGAGCACATTGGCCAAGCAATGGCCATGACTCATCCACATGGCTGACACTTACAAAGGATCTACAGTCTGAGGTACAGGGTTTCAGGATAAATCCTCAGGAGATTTGACTGACCTTATCAGATCCAAAAGCTGCAACACTTTTTTTTAAGTATTTTAATCATTTTTATTTTATGAAAAAATAAAACAAAATTTCATAATGAAATAATAAGAGAATAACAATAGTCATTGCACAAATATCCTTTTCTTCAAAGTAGTTACTCACAATACAGTTATGGGCCTTCACAGCTATAAACGACCCCCATAAGACTGCTTGCATTCTAGCCCATAAATTCTAGTATGTTATACTGGGATTATCACTATTCTGGGATTATCACTATTCTAGGAACTATCTTACTTCTTCCTTAATTTCCTCTGTGACCTACTGATTATTCAAGAGTGTGCTATTTAATTTCCATATGTTTGCAAAGTTTCTGTTGATAATGATTTGTGGTTTCATTGAACTACTATCTGATGATATGCACAGTCAAATTTTGATTCTTTTGCATTTGCTTAGGCATGTTTTCTTAGCCGATACCTCAGCTAGTAGTACCTCTGTTCGTAAACTCAATTCTTTCCATAATTCTTGTCCCAAACTGAGGTAGATATCAATGCTACCCCATTAGGCCTTTCTCCAGCAGTCTTTAAGATTCTTTTCTTGTGGAAGATTGCTGTGTATTTACTTATTATATGGCTTTGCTATTCAGGACTCTATCCGACTCACTTATTTGTATGTTAAATTCTTTTCCTATGGACAATTTTCCACAATTACTTCTGTAAACAGATTTTTTTCTTTACATCCTTTGTGTTGTCTTCTATTTTTTATTAATTCTAATAACTTTTTTGAGTCATCTGGCAGATGCCAGATCCACTTTACATTTTATTACTGTTTTTGAGACTTTTTCATGAGCTGACCATTATCTGTGGCCCCGTGCTCGCGATCTGAACTGCCTTCACTTCCTTTGTTCTTACTTTCAGCTGTATTTTTTAATTTTCTTTTCTTTTTTTCCATAATTTTATTGAGAAACAAATAGCAATGAGACAGTTTCAAACCAAATTGGTAGGACAGTTTCAATACTTAACACACTGCATACATTCTTCCTAATGGTTAATTGCTGTACAATATGCAAAAGCTACAACTCTTGTTGCAGTTCTTGCTTTTTCTTGGTCTTAACCATCCAGAAGAAAAGTAAAAAAATGACATATAAAAAGTAAAACCATGGTGTTATGCTGAGCTGTAGGGGACTCAGGTCAACAACTTCTGACATTGCCAGTCAAGTGGAAGACCCAATAATATTATGGACTACTGGACTCTTTAAAAATATTTTGCTGAGTTCACACACCTATAATATTCAAATGATGAAATTAAACAAAAAAGGGGATACAGATGATTGTCCATTTTGTATCTGTGTATTCAAAATGGTTAGGATAGATATATAGTTACTTTCTCTTAAGGAATAGAGGGATTTGTTCTAATATGTTTGTAAATAAGACATCATGTTTGCATCTTGTACAGCAAATAATCACTAGGAAGAGAGTATGCAATGTGTTAATTATTGGAACTGTCTTACCAATTTTACTTGAAACTGTCTCATTGCTATTTGTTTTTCAATATAATTATGAAAAAAGAAAACTAAAAAATTTAAAAAAATAAAATCTTTTATCTCTTTTTCAGTTAAATTGTCTTACCACTACTATAGTAGTTGATTAACATATATTCTTATCCAACATTTCAATTTCAAGAAGTTCACTATCCATTCCCTCTGATACACTCAGCACCACTACTCCAACATTTTTTGCACTCTTCTACCTCACTGAATCCAGTGGTTAATTCTGCCACCTTTTCATTGTCATAGGAATCCCTTCCACATAACTATCCTTGCACTTTTGTATTAATATTTTTAATGCTTCGTTGTGTATCAAAAAAATATCCACATGTATTTCCCCATATCTTGTTACACCATTGTTTTTCTGACACTCTCTTGATTATTTGCTGTTGCTGCTGCTGCAACAAAAGACCAGTCACCCAGAATCAAGGAAATAAAGACATAGTTAGCTCACAGTTTGTGGAATTTTTGGTTCCTAATCAACTGGCTCTAAGGCAGCATGTTAGGGTGGAGGGGCAATAGTCTAATCTGGCAGAAGAGAGTAAAAGCATCAAGAGCTCACAAGCCTGCTTTCCTCTTTTCTATTATAAGCAACCTACCCACCCTGAGGTGGGGAGGTCTTTTACATTTACTCCATCAGCATGCCTTCCTCTTGCACAGCCTTGGGATGAATACAAAGTAAAGGCTGTGGTTCTCAGGTCAGCCCCTTAGTTAAAATCTTAACTTTCTCACTTTGACACAATGAGCAACATCCCAAAATGGTAAGGACATTCCCATTTTACTTCAAGATGTTACGTTACTAAGTAACTTTTGAGTTACTTATCTAAGCTTTTAGACTCCTCATGTTGATACAGTATGTCAACCATAACAAATATCTCAGCTAAAAAATTAAATAGATATAATTGTCTTATTATTCTAAACTTTAAGAGTCTTAAGGAAAATATGTAAACAAGACAGTTAGCCTTAGATTATTTGTGTGATGATTAATATGGTATCTTAATAATATGTAGTGGTGGTATTACATTTTTCTAGTCTGTTCAACATTCTTTTATTCTCAGAAATGAGTATTTTATTTTCTGTTCTCAAATTTGAAATTTTTTTGTTCTTATTATTTTCACATAAGAAAGACAAATTTGGCAAAAAATGAGCATACTCAAAAATGAATACAATAGTCTATATCTATCTTTACCTTCTTTTCTGTTATCACTCACGCCATCTGCTTTTTACTGTCTTGATTTAACTCATAATTGGGCATATTCATTTTCAAGAACTACCATAACAGATTAACTAGGGTGGCTTGAAACATGCTAAGTTTTTTATTATGAAACATTTACAGAAGACAGTACTCAAAAATGAAGTGTGGACAGGATACTTTCCTATGGAGTCTCAGAAAGTACATGTTTTGTGTCTCTTCATTGTATATCCTGAAAGTTTCTTCTTTCTTGGTCTGTTGTTCATATTCAAATTTCTTTCCCTTGCTACTAATTGGATTAGGGAAAACTATAAGGCCAGTATGACCTCTTTTTTAATTGATTAGTTTTATAGATGTAGAATATTTCCAAATAACACAACATTCACCAATGTAAAAATGGTTTAGGATCTTCACTTTGACTAACTTTATGCTGATATCCGTAATCTAAGCAACTATATCAAGTACAGAAATATATAACAGAAGAAACATGGTTCAATGCCTCACATCCTGGTCTGCTAAATGTGTACCATTTCTAATGCCTTTTCAATTACTATTATACTTGCGTTCAAATAATTTTTAAAAAAAATTAAAAAGAGACAGAAAAATATTAAGGTCTATTGAAAGCAAGATTTTTTTTTCTTTTGATGAACCAGGGATTGAGCTCAGGCCCTTGCACTTGCCAGGCAAGCACTTATTCTACTGAGCTATCTTCCCGACCACTGCTAGAGTTAATATTGAATTATATGTCCAATTTTGCATAACTATATCTGTTAATCTGAGCAAAAGATTTGATGATAGAAATAGGTAATATAACAGCATTGTTTATTTGCTATTCTTGTTTTGAAAACCTGCAATATATGCATTGTTGTTTGTTACCCTGTTTCTGTCTTTGAATCTGCTATTTTTTTTTTGCTTTTGCTTTACTCTTCAAAATAAAATATATTTTTAAAAGACCCTCCCCCCAAAAAAGAACTTGTGTATGTCCTTTGTAAGGACACAAACTCTTAGCCTGGAGCAAAATTTTTCACTGCTTAAGGACCTAACTATTATAAGTAATTCTCATTCTATTATCAGTTCTTCTTCTGTCACTATGTAATCATTACCTTTATCAGAGTATCTATTCTTATTAAAAATAAAAAAATAAAATTCTTCCACATAGTGCTGCAGTTTGTCACCTTTACCACGCAAAAGTCTTTGAAAACATTATCTGTATTTGATACTTCATCTCTTTTATCTCAAACTAATGATGTCTAATAAAGCTATCTATTTATAAAAAAATTCATGCATGTATTAAGTAGTTATTTCAAACACAACAACAGTGAAAAACGTTACTCATTATCTCATTCTAGGTCATCATACCATCCACGTTAAAATAAATTTTTGAGCCTGAGTGGATAGCTCAGTAGAATAAGCTCTCCTGAGTTCAATCTCCAGTACTGCAAAATAAACAAATAAATTAAGTAAGTGTAAGTAAGTAATTTAATCAAATAATTTTTTCACTCTGAAACTTACTCTAGATCTTTGATGTTAATATTCAATGGAAACTAAACTCACTAAATATTTATAACTGT